GGTTGATGGTCCTTCTTGAGCATGTGATCAGCTGGTTTTGGTTGTCAGCAGCAAACTGGTTGATCCACTCAGAGAAGGTGCTATTTAAGAGACTGAGCTGAATACAGCACCTCAGACTGAGGAAGTCTCTCGGATGAGATGAAACGTTTCTATATTTTTTTTGCTTTGTTTTTTTTTTTTTTTGAATGTCCAGAGGACCAGATTGAACATTTTTGGACTGTAGAAATAAAGGTTGAATGAAAAAATAAATAAAAAAGCCTGTGCCCTCTCCATTTGTTAAAATCAACAGAAACATACCGAAAAATGTCATAACTGCAATAACGTAATAAAAACATCTACCTCTAAAACTATTATTGTTTAGATTGTAAGAGACGTGCTGTAACTTGAAGCATAAACAACAAAAACGTTGTAACTCTTTAAATAAATTTTATTTCTGTTGGTTGCTATCCATAATTAGTACAGACAAAAAAAACAATACTTGACTAAACTTTGACGTTTAAAATCATTATAATTATCTCTCGTGAGCATCACAATAAACAGTATATCGAAGTATGTACAATGGAAGACAAAACATTCAAACCGAGTCAATTCATGATCAATTAGTACAGAAGAATCCATACGTGGACACGAAATGGAGGAAAAAAATGCTCGTCGAGAAGAAACATCCCAGCAATGGCAGAAAGAGAAATATACACGGAGCTCAACAGCTCCTATTTCACAAGAAAATAATAATGTTTGTAATGCAATGTTACATTTGGTTCCAAAGTTGTAAACTAGATTTTATTCATGTCACTATTGCATATGCCATTAGGTAAAGTGTGTCAACAAGGCATGAAGAGCTTTCTATATTAAAATAAACACAGATTTATTTTATTTAATTATAGAAACTGTGAGGGAAAATAAGCAGACAATATATTGTATATCCCCAAAACAACAACAAAAAAAACCCCATCCCTGTTTAAAAATCTATAGCCAAGTTTTCACAAATGCAACCCAAGTTAAATTTAAGAACTATATATATCCAATAAAGTTCTGTTAAACTCTTGTGTCATATACACATTATATACACATTTAAAACTCTGATAAATAGATACCATAAATTAGCTTGTTGCAGCTCCAATATTATTAAACACTTATTTAAACTGTTTAAAATCTGTGGTGTTCCCACAGCTCACAGATACATTCAGACATTTTTTACAATCTATTTTACACATAAAGGGGCTTGGAGCCAGTCGGAGTCGGCAGAATGAACAACACAAAGACCACAGTCAAAATGAGCATAGGAGTGAGATTTTGGCGGCCATTTTGGAGAATCCACGTTACGATTTAAACTTCAACTAAATTGTTAAGCAGAACCGACACATTTAAATGCGTTTTTTTCCCCTTTTGCCACATAAAAACTCAGAAAATTTTATTTGACTCCTACATTAAAGAGTTTTCACGTTTATTTTACAACAGGCTTGAACTGGTTTTTGCTAGCTAAGCTGGTTAATTATGCTACATGTTAGCATTTGGCATATGCCCATAAGAAACAATTTTGCACTTTTAAGAGGAACAAATGTACAACATTAATGTTTACTTGCTCTAAAGCATAAATAATAATTATGGTTCATTAGAAATTGCTGAATTGTGTCAGCTAACAGTAGCAGGGTCCTGTTATAATGTGCTACATGTTAGCATTTCTCATTATGCCTAAATTTCCAATTATTAACTTAAATATTTTTTTTAATTAAGAGAAATATATATATTTTACCAATTTGTAGTATATTTTCAGTAAAACACTGCTAAAACTTCAGAACTATGGTTCATTAGCAACTGGTTGTGTTAGCTAAAACTAGCTCGAGTTGTGATATGCTACGTTAGCATTTCAAATTTCATCTCAAATTTACACACACTTAAAAATACTTTGTAAACTTAACCGAAAAGTTTTATTTTCTTTTTTTCAGTTTGTAGTTGATTTCCTGTAAAACATCAGTATGGTGGTTCATCAACCACAGGTTGATTGTGTTAGCTAACATTAGGAGGAACTGTGTTGTGATATGCTCAGTGCTTAATTTGTACACAAAATGATGCCGGAACGCAAATAGCGCGTGCGCGGGGCTCGTCTGGGGGTCCTCCCCCATAAAATTTTGTATAAATTATGCCATTTCCTGCATTCTGGTGTATTTTAACGGGTTGTTAAACATCTACGAGAAGTAGCCTGACTCCTTGTGTGAATAGAGCATGCTCTCTCAAGCATCCCCCCACGGGCTCTAAAGCTCCGCCCTTTTAGGGGCGGAGATTTTTTTTTTTTACGGGTAGAAGTGGAAATGCTTACTTGAAGGGGCAGCTCTTATGCGATATTAGGAAGCTCGTTATTGACTGTTGTGTTTAAAATGAGTGTTTATGTACAGTAATTATTTTCAGATTACATATCTAACATAGGTTTTATTCGTTCAAGGCAGTCAAATTTGTTTGTAACTTTATTATTTGTAAGCCTGAGAGTTACCGGATTCAAGCAAACAGTTACCAGAACACACCCTGTCGAAAATACGAGCGTTCCCGGATCCTGTTCCGGCACGATCCGGCTCAAATTAAGCACGGGCTACGCTACATATTAGCATTCCTCATTCTGTTTAAAGTGGCATACCAACTCTAAAATTCTCAACTTAAAAGAGGATTTAAAAAGTTTACTTTAAAACTCAGAAGCTCGAAAACATCACACAGTTATGGTCCATTAGCGACCGGTCAGTTATCACTTGCTAATAGTAGCAAAAATCTGTAGCGATACTACATGTTAGCGGTGTTCGTAATGCTTCAAGTTTTACATATTCTCTTTAAAAAATATTTGTATTCAATCAAAAACTAACACATTTATTTTATTTAAGAGGTCATTTGCTATAAAACGTTATATTTCAGTATTATGATCCATTTGCGACCGGTCAACGAAGTTAGCTAGCACTAATAAAGTTCTGTTGTAAAATCTGTGTTTGTTGTGTCACTTTTTGAGCAAGCTAGCTAGATTGATTTTATTTCCTATCTTCAGTGAACCTCCATAATGGTGCCACCCGTGACTGTAGGCTTCAACGTTTTCAGTGCCTTTTTTAAAAAACATAAGCCCCACATCATGGATGAGAAACTGTCTCCACCGTACCCAACCTCTACAGTTTTTTGTTTTGGCTCCAAACCTCTATCATCACAACAAGACAGTTGTACAGTCAAATGACATCACAGCAGGACGGCCCGCGTGGATCAGAACCGCGGGCCGCAGGTTTGAAGGTAGGAGTGATTGAGGTTTTCAGGCTCGGGTGACTGAGGGTTTGTGGGAGGCACAGTGCCTGGTGTTATAGGATTCTCAAATATAATCCTCTACGCCCAAAACGGGACAAAAAATAAACAGGGTTTAGAATATATAGGAAATTATTATTTACGAAAATACTTTCACTATTATTAGAATAAATCAGGTCTCCTGCAGCCAAACCGGTTCAGTACATTTCTGAAACATTATATTTTAATTGGAAAACTGCATTTTTTCACAATAGAATATCAATATAGAGATCTAAACAAACACACCTTAATATAATATTTATCTTATATTTAATAAAAACATAAAGACAGTATACACATTAAGGCATTGGGCAGGTCTTATCAGACATTCAGCATCCAAAAATAAATAAAGTATTTCATGTAAATATATATGTACTCAGTGTATCTTGGTATCCTCTCCCTGTAGAGCGTGATTTCATTGTTCACTACATACCAGCCGCTCGCATTCGGTCTCAGAAACACACTCGCACTCAGACACAAACTACCCGTGAGCAAACAAATAGTATTTTGTGTACCATTAGAGCTTGTCTGACTATCTTCGCCTCTGTGCTTGTGCCAAACGAGTTAGGTCACAGGAGAGATGGCCTCTCTTCAAAGTGCAGGGAAACGTGAGAAGTACCGACACACGTCCAACACGCAAAAAACCACACACCTGTCCCGCCCTCAGCTGTGAATTGATGGAGACCTGCTTGTGTTTTGTGTGTCCCGGGTCGCGGCGCGTGACGCCGACAGTCCACGGCGGCTTCCTGGGTCGTGGGGCCCCCGGCAGACGGGCTGAGTTGTCTTGTCCTTTAGGTTTATGTTGGTTTTTATTCTCAAGCAGCAGGTCGTGACGCCAAGTCCAAGGACTGGCGAGTCCTTCAGTCTGGAAAAGATGACATAAAAAGAAGTTTAATGGGATGGCTCCGTTTTTATATATTCTTTTTGTATAGTACATAATAAGCTTAAGATTTTACACCTTCATACAATTGGCTTTTTGTCGGTAAAACGTACAATACAAATGAGTTTTAGACAGAAACTCGGGCATCGTCTATACGGCTTGGGATATTATTTAAAACTTTGGGTTTTTTTGTTTCTTTAAATTTGTTTTTCAATCGACGCAATTCTAACAAAAATACTGAAATACGCACGTCACACCACAAAGTAGCAATGACATCCACATTATCAACTAAGGATCCACTTTTTTCACTTCCGATCCGATACTCGATGTTTCCCGTTTGACGATACCGATCCGATACTGGTCCGATACTGGTCCGATACCAATCCGGTTGATTATGTTGGTAGCGTTATAGCTGGAAGTTTTAGTGCCACCCCTTGGAACCGTCGCCGCGCACGTATTGCACGTAGCTGTCGAATGCATTGCCCAAGGTAGTGTGAAATAGTTACAGATGGCTAATCCGTTTGCTCGCTCCATTTTGAAAACAATCTGTGCGGCGAGTTCGAAAGTGCATGATGTCACTCAGAGCACAAAGCATAGAATTAGAGTGAATAGATCTGCCCAGTCATGGATCGGTCACATTGTCACAGATACCGATATTGGTATCGGATCGGTGCATCTCTATTATCAACCTCAAAATATGGGATGTGTGCGACGGACGTCACAGTTGGTATAGTTAGTGTTTCCCCTACTACTATACAAGCAGGGTGCCCCGCCCTGTCAACAGAACTGGGTGCCCCGCCTACCTAACTCCTACCCCCCACCTGAGAACTGCAGGAATGACGCAACGCTAAGCTAGCGGTGCGCAATACCGACGTGCTAGCTAAAAAGCTATGACTTTGGTGGTAGCTCCATGTCTCCCTCACGAAAAGTCGTCCCCCCCATCAATCGTAAACTAACGGTACAAACAGCACCCCGCCCCCCGTCGACAAAAATCACAGAAGATATGAGCGCCATGCCAAGGCAAATAATCTAGAGGAAACACTGGACGTCAAAGTAAAATGGCTGAATTAAAAAAATTGATGTGGCCTAACAGAACTTTTCTGGTTACTTATTTTGACACATCTGTCTCAAAAAACAAAACAAAGAAGCAGCAATTGAGAATGTTTTTGTCATCGTATTTTATTTTGAAAGGATTAGGAAGTGGAAACTATGGTCTTTGGTGAGCTCAGCAGTAATCCCAATATATGAGCGACGTGATATAAAAAGCAAGTCCCTAAAGAAAATACAGGAAAAATCATTCCTAAAGTTACATTTTTAAATGTACTTTTCCTTCGATACATTTACGTTTTCCATGCTGACATTTAATAATTTTAGTTCCTAAAGTTTGGAAGAGAAACTATCAGGATAAAGAGCAAAAGAATAAAAATAAAACTGTAAAAAAAAAAAAAAAGGGTTCCATATTTTGAGGGGTTTCTAAGCAGCTCCAATAGTGTTTTTAAAAAGTTTAATTATTTTTGAGTCAATATGAATTCACCAAAAGCAAAATCAAAGGAGGTGTCAAAACAGGAAATAAATACTTTTTTGTCACAGTTTTATTTTTGTAGAATTTTAATAGTATTGTTGTACATCTTTAAATAATATCGAAACAGACTAAATTAGAACTGCGTCGATCCGATATTATTATCGTATCGGTACTGATATTGGGAAAAAATATTAATTGGGCATCAACAAAGACGGACTGATCTGGCACCAGTATCGTATCGATATCGGGAAAAACTTGATCAGGTATCGCTGACAGTGTGACTGATCCATAAGGACAGGAGATGATTTTAAATATCTGCCATGTTTCCTCTTATTTCAGCTCCTTTATTATTTATTTATTTTACATTATATTTAGAATTCCTGAACCTTTTGAAAGGCTTGTTGAAGTTTATGTTTTCACGTTTGACCAAAGTTGTCAACCTGTTGATGTTGTCAGTTTCAGCATCTTTATTATTATTTATTTTACATGTTTGACCAAGCTTGTGAAGCTACTGGTGTGTTTGTGTGCTGTACTGGTGCACAGTTTTCAATAAATGTGTAACGCAGTCTATTTAAAAAGCTTTAAAGTTAATCCAGCAATCCCCCCCCCGTATCGAATCGTTATTGGATCGGTATCGACCGATACTAAACATCGGGTATTGGAAGTGAAAAAAAACTGGATCTGTGCATCCCTAGACTAAACAGTGCAGGGCTATTCAACTATATTGCTCAGGAGCCAGACATCCAGCAGTTATTGTTATTAAGTACATTTGTTTTACAGTTTAAAATCTAATTTTATTTAATAAAAATGAACCGAACTGAGCGCACTTGTGGGCCAGATTTGGCCCCTGGGCCGCCAGTTGAATAGTCCTAAAATAATATAAAACAAGTGACAGGAAGTGTAACTTTTTTATATAGTGTCTCATGGTTAAATACACACACAGGGCATATTTTCAATTCTGCAATTAACACGATGTTCTTTTAAAATTTTTTTTTATTTTTTTTTACATATTTTCACCCGTCAACTCGTCCAAATATGCTACGAGTTCTGTTTTTTCCCTGGATCTCACAAACAACACTGACACTAATTAGGCGGACCTCTGAGACGGAGAACACGAGAGGGTTGAGGGAACATAATGTCACACTCGTACTGTACAGCGTGAACCCGCTCAGACTCGGGAGCATTGTTTACGTGGTGCAAAAAAAAAAAGAAGAGTCTAATTTTGCTTAAACATCAAGAACACGGAGTACCGAACAGATTGTTTTGTTTCCGGACATAAAAAGAGGAACCCATTAGTTGTGTAACTGTCCCGAGTTTATTGATGGGGATGTTTATTCTTCATGACAAAGTGTTTAAATGTGCATTTAGGTGGAGAAGGGTGGTGGTGGTGGATCATTTTGCTGAATTTAACACACCAGCTGTTTGGCCTGGGAAGCCTTTGAAGGACAGTTGGGTTTGTGTGTCTGTGGGGAGGGGGGGTGTTCAGCGACGGCTGTAATGACATAATCTGATATACAGAGTGGTGGGGGGTGGGTCCTCATATGGACAGATGTTGGAACAGCGGAGTGTCTTGTCACATGTGGGGACTTGAACTTATGGGTGGTGTTGGCCAGTATTTTAACTTTTTTTTGGTGCTGAAGCGTTTCACCTTCCATCCAGAAGGCTTCATCAGTCAAGGAAACGCACAACACAAAACTGATTTGTCCCCCAACAGCTTACTCCAAAGTGGAACAAACCAGCTATGTTGGTGCTAAGATGGTGTCTTTGGCACGCCCCCTCCTCTGTTGCCGGCCCTCTTCCTCGTCGACAGTCATGTCGTTGGATTGTATACCTGGATTACTGACCAGTTTTGGACCAGTTTGACATGACTGTCCCCACCATCACAGACAATTACACCTCCACATGCAGGAAGAGAGCCACATGCATCATGAAGGACCCCACTCACCCAGCACACACACCTATTTACCCTGCTTCCCTCAGGCAGGAGTAAGCTTCTCAGCTTAGCTGCTTTTATCGATCCAAAAACACGATTTTGAACGGTTAAAACAGATTTTAAAGAGAAAGGGAGGGGTCAGTGAAGAGCACCGGAGTTGAACATTTTGTCATCCAGTGTCTTCAGTAGAACGAGAGAGACGAGGAAACGATGAAGCCGATAAATGAAAATGAGGTATATAATTTCATTCATCATACGATTAATTGGTTTATTGTTTATCATGACAGGCCTATGAACTGTATAACTAGGGTTTTAAAGCAGATGCACGACTAGCCTTTGCCCACTAATGCACCCCCATACAATCAGTGAAGCTGGCTTTTGAACTGTGCACTAATGGTCCCTCTTTTTTTTCGTACAGAGGAGGAAGCATCAGTGGTTTCTTACTTTCTCCGTTCTTTGTTGGCCCCGTCTCAATTTAGACATTTTGCTGCCATCAAATATATTTATTTATTTTTAATGGTAACATTTCCAACCTTTAAACGTTTAATGCTTTTACAATGATTCAGTTGTGACATAAACATGGGCAACTTTTTTTTTTTTTTCTTTTTTGAGGATTTCACCAAATTAAGGTTCACAGGTATTTTTTTTTTTTTTAAACCTTCCACAGAACCACACATCAAAAGACTTGAACTTTCCCTTTAAGACTGTTGCATCACACGGTAAACACCGTGCCACATTTGTATATTTAAGAATTATAAACAATATTAAATGCATGCTGATATTTAATTATTGGCGCTCATGTTCCGTTCCAAAGTCAGAATGAAACTTGGGACAGGTCCGAGGGGACAAACGTCCACACCTTGAGTTACGTGTTGCTCAGGTTACGTTAGGCTCACTGGTCCCCCTCCCCTCTGGTTTAATCTCGCCTACAGAGGCGGTAATCTACTCTTTAGCCGAGAGCGGCGAAACGCAGGTCACACAGTTGACGCTTCTGCCTGGAACATCCCGGCCCACTTTAGTGTCCTCCCCACCCTCCGCCTCCCTGCGCCATCACACACAAACACTCGCTCAGACGCTGCCTGGAAACTCGGACACTCGATCCTTCGTGGCGCTCGTTTGTTCTCCGCACGTATCGCGTAACGCTTCTGGACTTCCCGCCTCGGCTGCACGTGCTGCCGCTCTCCTGCAGATGTAAATAAACGCCGTAACAGACGGTGCACCGGACGTTCGAGTCCCATCAAGATGTCATCAAAAATCTCTTTTGCATAAAAATAAAGTGAGATTTTATAGAAAAGCATCAGTAGGAAAAGATTCAAAATGTTTTTTTTGTTTTTTTTAAATTCCTGTCCAAATATATTTAGTGATATTTTAAGAAAATACAGTTTATACATTTTTTGCACTTTCCGTTTTGTTTTGCTTTCTCTAATTCTGATTATCTTGTTTTCCGGTTGTTAAAATCTCTTGCTTAATACTTTTTAATTGAATGTTAATCCTTTTTAAAAAGTAAAAGGTTTCCAATAACAATTTATA